TGGTTCAAAGTGATTCATCCAATCATTCTCCCCAATATGTGCATTTCTTGTGCACTGTGCTGACCTCTTGTGGTTCAAACTGTGCTTTGCCCAAAAATACCCCACTACAGCCAAGAAATTAAAAGACGCTTGCTCCTGGGGAGGAAAGCTATGGCAAACCTAGACAGCATACTAAAAAAGCAGAGGCATCACCCTGCCAACAAAAGTGTGGATAGTCAAGGCTTTGGTTTTCCCAGTTGCAATGGATGGCTGTGAAAGTTGCACCATAAGGAAGGCTGAGCGCTAAAGAATTGAGGCCTTTGAACTCTGGTGCTGGAGAAGACTCCTGTGAGTCCCTTGGACTGCAAGGTGATCCAACCGGTCAGTCTCTAGGAGATCAACCCTGACTGCTCTTTAGAAGGACAGATCCTGAAGTGGAAACTCAAGTACTTTGGCCACCTAATGAGAAGGCAGGGATGCAGTGGCTCAGTGGCTAAGACACTGAGAAGTGTCTTATCAGATCACAAAGGTTGACAGTTCGGAGGTTCTAATCCTTAGCGCCGCATAACGGAGTGAGCTCCCATTACTTGTCCCAGCTTCTGCCAACCTAACAGTTCGAAAGCATGTAAAAATGCAAGTAGAAAAATAGGGACCACCTTTGGTGGGAAGATAGCAGGGTTCCATGTGCCTTTGGCATTTAGTCATGCTGGCCACATGACCACAGAGATGTCTTTGGACAGCGCTGGCTCTTCAGCTTGGAAACGGAGATGAGCACCACCCCCTAGAGTCGGGAATGACTAGCACATATGTGCGAGGGGAACCTTTATCTTAACAGAGGTAATCCTCGAGCTACGACCATTATGGAGCTTGCTCATTACAGTTCCATGCCCTGGCAGTCATTAAGCGAGATTAAGAATACTAGGATATTTATTCAGTTTCAAAGCTATTCTCCAGGATAGAAAAGAAGTCAAAATTATCACTGCTGCCATCACCAAAAGCAACCAACCAGATATTTCCCTTGTGGCCTCAAGTTTACTATGAACATAGAACATAGAATCATAGGGCTGGACAGGACCTCAGAGGTCTTCTAGTCCCTAATCCAGGAAGGAGACCTCATACCATCCAGGTCAAATGGTTGTCCAGTCTCTCCTTGAAAACCTACAGTGATGAAGCACCCACAACTTCAAGAGGTCAGCTGTTCCACTAATTAATTGTTCTCAGGTTGGATCTCATCCTTTCAAGCGTTCATCATACGATTTTGCCTCCAAACTTTTTATCATCTTTGTTGCTCTTCTGCCCACACTTTCTAGGGTCTCAGACCCCATGGACCTACTCAGGTTAATCTCTTGCCTTTAGATACTGTCCCTTAAATTTTAAGGGTCAGCTATTCTCCATGCATAACAACTGTCAACTCTGAAGCTAGCCTGGCTGAGGCCATCTTTGAGGCTTCATCATTGCCATAATGGAGATGTAGGATAGGGAGGGGGTAGTAGAAATACCTGGGATTTTGTAGCCAAAATAATATAATTTCCTCTGGGAACCAAGGACGTTCCAACAGGTGGCTGAAGAGAGGAGTGAAGTTAAAAGCACCTTGATTGGACCATGTGATGGATTGTTGGTGTGGGGGATAGATGGATAGATGGATGTTTGGGGGGAAAGGGGAAAAACATTTACTGTATTTTTCAGACTATAAGACGCACCAAGATTTTGAAGAGGCAAATTAAAAAAAAAAGTTTTTGCACTGCACATTTTCCCAAAAACGGCCCCCTTTATGCACAAATGGGCCCAGTTTTCATCAAAAAAGGGCATGCATAGCCTTTAGGAGGCTTATAGAGTACTCCTGGGGAGCTGGGACAAAAACAAACAAAAAACAGCCCGTTTTTTGCTCGTTTTTGCCCTCCCCAGCCCCCAAGAGCACTCTGGAAGCCTCCTAAAGGCTATGCATGGCCATTTTGGTGAAGGGGGCAGGGTTTCGGGAGGCCAAAAATGCTGTATTCAATGTATAAGACACACCCAGATTTCAGCCTCTTTTTTGAGCGAAAAAGGTGCATCTTATACTCCGAAAAATACGGTACTTTTAATTAGGTGAAAACCGCAGGAACATTTAAGAGTCGGTTTTCACCAGCCTATGATATATCCAAATAAAACTATTTTTGAGGAACCTACCTGCCTTGGAGTTCTGCTTGCTATGGGAGTATTACTTGCAACCCTGACAACAACCCTATAATAGATGTGTTCCTCTGGCCCAGAGAGATGCTCAGATTCTTAAGATCAGGCCGAAAGTTCAGTGAAAGGTGCAAATGTCTGAGTCAGATCAAACAAGCATCTTCCTCAGGTGCTCACAGCGAAGAAATTATACATATGTACTGAGCCTGTACCAACAAATTTTGGCTGCTAATTCCGACTTACCATTGGATGTGGATATGCAGAGTTCTACATGAGCAGATTCGGTTTCCGATCCCAGATTGACGGAACACACAGTCTGGAGCTGTGTGTTTGCCGGGATCACACCCCTTTGTCCATCCATCTCATTTACCTGAGTGTTCAGTTCTACCTGCTTTAAAACAAAATGCAGGCCTTATTCGAAATGTTGGACAATGTATAGAAATACATACAATCGGCTCTACAACAGGTAGTCCTCGACCTTCAACAGTTCATTGAGTGACCGTTCAAAGTTACAACAGCACTGATAAAAGTGACTCATTGTTCTGACCGAAGCTTCCCAAGAGCATGAAGTCCCGACAAAAACCCCTTTTATTAATTTGCTGTGAATTTTGCTCGTTCACATCTAGCAAAGTCTTTCAAGGGAGGATTTACAGTAACAGACCTCATCTGGCTTGGAGAGCTGCCAGGCAGATATCTGCAAAACTTGGCAAAGGATTTCGGAGAGCCACGACCCAATGAAGCGAAGTAATTGTCTCCTGCAAACTACACTCCCCTTTTGCTCCTCTTTTATTTCCTATGGGAGGGGCCATTCATCGTCCCCCTGTGGCCTTACTCCCAAGTCAACCCCTGTTTTTTAGCTGTTCCCTTTGTCTGGCAACTCTGCGCATGCGCACACTGAAAACAGGCTCCAGCAGTTCATCTGCCTCACTGAGATCTGACTCTGAAGCTAATGCAGCTAATAACTGGCATACGGCCCTGGTCCCCTCTCTGCCTACAACACAGAGCCCTCATCAGAGCCTTCCCCAGACTCCAGGACTGGCCCAGGTTCTTTCCCAACCTCCTCACTCTCCGAATCTGTTGCCAACTCTGCTAGCCGCTGCCAGGCCACAACACTCATGACTATTTTTCACATTTACAATCTTTGTGGCAACCCCATGATCATGTGATCAAAATTCAGACGCTTGGCAAATGGTTCATATTTATGACCATTGCTTTGTCCCAGCATCCCCCTTTGCGACCTTCTGACAAGCAAAGTCAATGGGAAGCCAGATTTATTTAACAATCCTGTTACTAACTTATCTATTGCTGTAATTCGCTTAACATCTGTGGCAAGAAAGGTCATAAAACTGGGGCAAAGCTCACTTGACAAATGTTTCACTGAACCCCAAAAAGGTTGGGCTGAATTGTGGTTGTAAGTCAAGGACTACCTGTAATTGCAATAGCTTTGCCATTAGCACTGATAAAACATGTTTATACTTTGCTTTCACAGAGACAGGAAGCTCCCAAACCGGCCCCAAATGTTACCTACCGAAGACACCCAAATTTCTTATGACATAATGCCAATTGCTCCTCTCTGTCAATATTCCAAATTTACGAAGAGAGGAAAAATTTATTTCTGTTGTTGTTGTTGTTGTTCAATCATCATTCTTCATCAGCAAAATAGAATATGGACAAAATAAAGTAAGAAGTAGAGTTTTCTTTAATTCCTGAACTTCTAGCGTCCAACTGCTGAAGTTGTACTTGCTTGCTTTCCTACAGGCCAAGATCGGTTCTAGATTTTCCATCTTCACATAAATTACCTTTGAATTTTCTTCATAGTTTCGTAACTCAAGGAGCAAGTTCTGCTTCTTCTGACTAAGCCCTCGAATCAGATCTTGCTCTACACTCGTGTCCATCAGCCTTCCTTTCATCTCTTGAGTCCCTGGCAGGTACCCTCGCACTGTATAGAAACAAAGACAAGAAGTGTGTTAAGTCTCCTCTTGAAGTTCTTGATGGAGAAAAGCTGTCATTGGACACACAGCAGTGGTTCATAAATAAGGGAGAAGAAATGGACCATGTATTTAGTCTGACCTAAGCACAGATTAATAAAAGTTTGTAGGATAAACCTGTTCAATCGAAACCAACAAAAGGAAAATGGTTGCAGGAACTGGACATGGCTAGTCTAGTGAAGAGAAGGATCAGGGGAGACATGATAGCAATCTTCCAATATTTGAGGGGCTGCCACAGAGAGGAGGGGGTCAAGCTATTATCCAAAACACCTGAAGGCCGGACAAGGAATAATGGATGGAAACTGACCAAGGAGAGATTCAACCTGGAAATAAGGTGGAATTTTCTGACATTGAGAACAATCAATCAATAGAACAGAAGTTGCCTTCAGAAGTTGTGGGAGCTTCATCACTGGAGGCTTTCAAGAAGAGACTGGGATTGCCATCTGTCAGAAATGCTGTAGGGTCTCCTGCTTGGGCCAGGGGTTGGACTAGATGACCTACAAGGTCCCTTCCAACTCCCCGTTAATCTGAGAGCTAATCTGAGATTAAAAGGGCATCTCTACAGTTTGACATCCAGCTTGTTATTCATCCTGCTGAAGTTCCACAAAAACTCTTCCAATATATAATAAACAATTGTCCGCACCCACACGCACAAACAGAAATACCCCAATTAAAAGAAAAGTCAATTATAGGTAGTCCTCAACTTACAATCGTTTGCTTAGTGACCATTTCAACATCACTGAAAAAGTGACTAATGACCCTTTTTCAGACTTAACAACTGTCGTAGTATCCCCGTGATCACATTATTATCACATTATTCAGATGCTTGGCAAGTGGCATATATTTATGACCTTCTCATGATGGGGAAGCTGGATTCACTTAACAGCTATGTTAACTAACTTAACAAGTGCAGTGACTCACCTAAGAACTGAAATGAGCAAGGTTCAAACATGGGGCAAAACTCACCTAGCCAATGTCTCTCTTTTGGGCTCAATTGTGGTCATTAAGGTGAGGACTACCTGTACCCTCTACTAAGTAAAGTGCCTTATTCCAAACACTTGCCTACTTCAGCACATTGGGATGCAGCCAGAAAACATTATCTGAATTCAGGGCTGAGTGAAGTCCTTTGGCTAAGAGTGCCAAGGAAAGCTACCAGCCGCCGAGCTCCCCCATCACCACGGTGCCTCTTGAATATGAGAATGCAGCCCTGGGAAGGAAAGCAGGACCCACGAGGACGGAGAGGCGTCCAGGGATGAGATTCAGCCGGTTTGGACTGGTTTGGGCAAACCGGATGTTAATTTTAATCTGGTTTGCCGAACCCGTAATTACAAGAACCGGCTAACGCCGCCCATCCCACTCCTCTCCTCCCGAGAGTCTTCACGGAGCCCGTTCATCATGCCAGGAAAGTGCAGGGCCCAGGTGGAGGCTCTGGGAGGGCAAAAAACGAGCCTACTGGAAGTACCGGAAGCCTGGAAACAGGCCTGGGGGAGGCTGTTTTTGCCCTCCCGGAGGCTTGAGAAAGGCCTCCACAGCCTGGGGAAGGTGATGCATGCATCCCTTCTGCTGCCGTGGTGCAGGAAGCCAACTAGGCCACGCCCACCCAGCAACTGGGCAGAAAACCGGTTGCTAAAATTTTTCAATCCCACCTCAGCAGACGGCCCCCCAAAGTGGAACCCAGGTCTTTTTCTCTCTCTTTTCTCTCTCTTTTCTCTCTTTCTTTCTCCTTCTCTCTCTCTTTCTCGCTCATACAAACACCCACCACATGCTTGTCTTAGGTAGGGCTTGAGAGATCGGGTTTGTTCTTAGAGCAGCAGAACATTCTGCTTCAGAACAGCCACTCACATTGTTCCCACTCCTTGTAAATGAAAAAAGCCTTGAAATTTGCAAGGTTTTTACCTTCACCTTCAACCGAGCAGCAGATTAATTGTGTACTTCCATCCATCCTGTAGTCTCCCTGCACAATTCCCGCGATGGAAGAAGCAAAGTTGTCCTTGAAAATGACTTCTCCAGTTCGATCGTTGCGCACGTCAATCTGCAACACAGATATTCCCCAGAAGGCATTCAAAGATGGGAAGACCAAAGATCAATTTTTAAAAAATTAAATGAACATACATTTTATGTAAAATCTTCTAAGTCAAATCAAGACGTTAGAAATTCAGAACAACCCCTAGTTTACAATCTAATCCTTCTTTTTCCTTCTGTATATTTAGTTCCATAGAGGGACGCAGTGGCTCAATGGCTAGGACGCTGAGCTTGTCGATCAGAAAGGTCGGCAGTTTGGTGGTTCGAATCCCTGGTGCCGCGTAACAGAGTGAGCTCCCATTACTTGTCCCAGCTTCTGCCAACCTAGCAGTTCGAAAGCAAGTAAAAAATGCGAGTAGAAAAATAAGAACCACCTTTGGTGGGAAGGGAACAGCGTTCTGTGCACCTTTGGCATTTTGTCATGCCAGCCACATGACCACGGAGACATCTTCGGACAGCGTTGGCTCTTCAGCTTTGAAACGGAAATGAGCACCACCCCCTAGAGTCAGGAACAACTAGCAGATATGTGCAAGGGGAACCTTTACCTATTTAGTTCCATTGCAGTTATTCCATGATCTTCAAGCACACACAAAGCAATTTTAAGAAAATAGCCAAACTAAACACTGGCTCTTCATATCTGTCTAATAATGTTCATTTGGTCTGCTGGCAGCCATTGATTTCTTCCAACAATGCTAGCAGAAATCTAAACCAGGCCAACAAGTTAATCTTTAGGATAGAAGCAGGGAAGAAGGTGAAATACAATCTTCTTTATACTTACCTTCCCATTGGACCAGCCAGTTATCAATTCACAGACGCCGTCGGAATTAATATCAAAAGCATCAATGCACATCGCCTGATTTTTAGACTGAGGGGGGAAAAAATGGATCTATGAGTAGCAAGCAGGTCACCCTAATCTTTTCCCACATCTAGTGGAGATATACTGATGCAAGAGAGCAGTCAAGATGATGAACAGCTATGACTCTAGATTCACTCTTGACTCTAAGCCTGAGTCCAAGAACATCTCCTTGTAACAATAATAATGAAAGACCTTGGACATATGAAAAGGCGGCTTTTATTTTCCCTGAATAGATGAAGTTTTTGTCCCAAAGGGAGAACAGATTAACAGAGTTGGAAGGGACCTTATAGGACATTTACTCCAACCCCCCGCTCAAGCAGGAGACCCTACAGCATTTCTGACAAATGGCAGCCCAATCTCTTCTTGAAAGTATCAAGTGATGAAGCTCCCACAACTTCCGAGGGTAACTTCTGTTTTATTTATTGATTGTTCTCACTGTCAGAAAGTCCCTCCTTATTTCTAGGTTGAATCTTTCATATATCACCTGAGTTGGATCTTCAGCTTCTTTCTAGCTCTCAGTTACGTGTCTGTCAAGACTTCAAAATTCTCAACAAAGCAAGTTTAGAATCTCACCTACAACAAGACAATGGCTAGAGTGATACAGGAGAAGAGTAGATTGAGCCTGAAGGTGGGGTTAAACATGTCATCAGTCTGTGTCAGACCTGGAAGCCATCGGGCCTTCAGGCCTGCCACATTTTCTACTGTGGGAAAATGGGAGGGGGATTATATGGAGTAGGGGAGAGATATATATATAGTCAAAATAACATTCCTTTCTCAGAGAGCCAAGGACATTTTGGCTTGCACCCAGAGGGTTGTGAGTGGGAGGCATCTCCAGTTGGGATGGTGCCTGGTTGGACCATGTGACGGACATGTGGGTGCTGGGCAGGGACTTGAACTTTCACTTGGGTGGGGAAAACCTGGAAACTTTCAGATTTGGGGTTTCCCAGATGTGCCAATATGTCATCTCTCATAAAATGGAACCCTGAGGAAACTCAAGCCTCGGAGTCTTCTTTCGTTTGGGGTCTTACTTGGATCCCTGACATCTGGTGTCATTGTGTTCCCACAAGAAACCCAAGTCCAGCCCACCCCCATGAACTCCGATGACCCTTATCTAGCACCAATTTAGCTTTGACCATTAATTGACCAGATTCTTGGGTATTGGTAGCCTTAATAAACCTTTCTGTAGGAGAGGGCCAAGCTAAGTCTGGGGGAGGAGTCAAACGCATCATCAGACTTGAGTCCCTTCAAGCCCACAAGAGATCTAAGTCCGGCCTTCCTTGAATTCCACTGACTCTTATCTATTGGCAATTTCTTTGACTGTTAGTAGTTCAGATTTTCATAGAGAGCTTTAGCATACAATACAACATATACATTAATTTGAACCATCTGGACTCCTGGATTCCAGCACTTGACATTTACAGTGCTTTGAAATCAACATTCAGAAATGGTGAGTGGGTAAACCTGACAGGTTTACCCAACAAACTTAACCAAGTCAGTTAAAGAGCAAGGGGCTACCTATGCATCAACGCAATGCCTGATTAATGTTAATCTTGAATAAAACGTTGTGACGGATGAACTAAAAGATCCTTCCTAGTTCACACGTTCTAGGCCTCTGTGTGTGTTTACATCACCCAATCAGAACTGGACAGCATCCAAACTGAATGGAAGAGGAGGAAGAGGAGGAAGTGGAGAGGGAGAAGGAAAAGGAGAAGGAGGAGAAGAACATCCATGTTGTGGCAGTACTAAAAAAGAAGATGGCATGTACAAACACATGATGAAAGCCCTTGATGCGCATAAAAAGATAGGAGGCGACTTCAATTCCATGGTAGTGGCTGCCATCTGGATCTTTTTGACTGCAGATTTCCAGCAAATATACATTTCTCGATGCTGGATATTCCAGCTGTTCTGAAGTCTCCAATTTGATCATACTAACTTTAATTCTCCAGTAGCGTGCTGTCTGGTTATAAATGCCCACCGTGCCATTAGCAAGGGCATAGCCGAAGCGAGTGGGGCTCATCGACGTTAGGGCAGTGATGATCTGGAAAATGAAAGTAGGTAGGTAAACAACTGTTGTTGAACTAAATAATCAAGCCAACTATTTCTATGGAATAAAACTGCCTTTGGCTAAATCAGACCGATATTGGCAGTTTCGTGGCATTTTGAAATTAGCAGTTACAGTATTCATGCCCATTAAATTAAACCAGTCTCAATAAAACTCACCTTACCAGTATCAACACCTGCACTGGAAAAATTTGGCTAGTGCTGAATCCAGCTGTGATGTGGAAGACTGAGATATGATTTATTCTATTTAATATTTTATTCGTTTGACATCATTCAGAAAAATTTACAAGGGCTCCAAATTGTTTTTTCCCCACTGCTTTCTTCCCTGTCTGTTCTTACTGTCAAAACTCCATGGAAAGAGGGAGTAGGTGGATAGGGAAATAAGAATATTCCCTTATCATTTTTTGTTGGCACTAAAAGCCCTTAATCTGGAAGTAGCCGAAGTTTTTCTTCCACATTTTAAATTAGCATGAAGTTGCTGTACTGGAACCAGTGCAAGGGAGAACAGCTGAGTGGGAGCAGCCCAGAAGAGGGGTAATTTCTATAGGGCAGAGGAGATCCATAGGCCAAATCCAGNTGCAAGGACTGTTTGTAAGTCACTTTTTTCAGTGCTGTTGAAACTTTAAGCAGTCCTAAATGAATGGTGGTAAGATGACTACTCCCTGCAACCTATTGAATATTTTGTCTTATAGTTCAGTTCACCATGGATTTAAAATAATCATTTCCCTTTTGTTGTAGATATTTATTAAACAAGTCTCAAGGTATTTAAACTATCAGGATTTTGAGGAATTCATATTTTTCTTCCCCAAATCCTTTTTTCCAAAGTCATTCTGTTCCCAGATCTGCAGCTATGAAATTGTAAATGTACACTGCTTCAATGAAAAAACACACAGCAAGATATTTATTAGACCCCTGAACTTTTTGGCATAATATTAAACTGTTCTGATGTTTACACGAAAAATATTTATTAAGAAAGGCGGTATGATGAATTTTAATATAAGTAAATGTACCTTGCAAATTTCAAAGGTATCAATCTGTACAAAGAGTTTTCTGCATATTCATGATGTAATATTTTATACTTTGTGAATTATAATAGTGATTCATTCCATCATTTTGTTTAAAATAGCCCATGTTTTACCAATGATACTCTCCTTTATTATTTTCTCAGTCCCTCATTCTTTGGTACAATCATTAAACAAAACACCCTACATCCAACAGTTTTAAATGTTTACAAGTATGAGCACAACCTAGCTGAGATAATAGATGCTGATTGTGGAAATTATTTGTTTCCAAGGAGTTCAAAAGTGCTATCATTTCAAATACATCCCGAGAGAAAAAATTTTTAGAATCTCCCTTTTCCCTTCAAGAATGCATTATCAGAAATTAGAAACAAATTATCCAAAATTGGTGACATTATTTTTGGATGGATAGATGGATGGATGAGGGTAGATGAAGGCAGGCAGGCAGGCAGGCAGGCAGGCAGGCAGGCAGGCAGCCAGCCAGCCAGCCAACCAGCCAGCCAGCCAGCCAGCCAGCCAGATAACTAATCAACCAACCAACCAGACTCCTATGGTTTTCTTTTTTTAGGTTTAGTAAGTTACATACAGACTGCCAACTCCCCAAAGGATATTCCCTGATCCTCGTAGGATGGAATATTTTAGCTACTATAAGACTATTATCATCATTTACTGCCCGCTCTGTCTTAAGATTCAGAATGCTAGAAATTCTTCTAGGGAAGGCATGCCTTCATTTTGTATAATGGTATACACTAGTCTAAGGGGACACGTTGGCTCAGTGGCTGAGATGCTGAGCTTGTCGATCAGAAAGGTCGGCAGTTTGGTGGTTCGAATCCCTAGTGCTGCATAACAGGGCAAGCTCCCATTACTTGTGCCAAAATAGCAGTTTGAAAACATGTAAACAGGCAAGTAGAAAAATAGGAATCACCTTTGGTGGGAAGGTAACAGCGTTCCGTGCGCCTAGTCATGATGGCCACATGACCACGGAGACGTCTTTGGATAGCACTGACTCTTTGGCTTTGAAACGGAGATGAGCACCGCCCCCTAGAGTAGGGAATGAGTAGCACATATGTATGAGGGGAATCTTTACCTTTACCTTTATTCACTAGCTTAAGCATTTTACTGGAGGCCCTCAGGATATGTAGAGATTTTGAGCCTTTTAAAATTTAAATGCCATTTTAAATTCCCACTTAAAGCTACTGTTCAATTCCAACCTTTAAAGCAAAATACCTAAATTATCACGTAATTGATATATAAAGGTTTGATTATCTTAAATATGTTGTTCTTCAGTCGCTGACTCTTTGTGACCCATAACATCCCAGGCTTCTCTGTCCTCTTCTGTTTCCCATGTTTGCCCAAATTCATGTTTATTGCATAAACAACACTATCTAAACATCAATGTAAAGAACATTAAAACAATTTTTTGAGGATATCATATTTTTCGGAGTATATGATGCACCGGAATATAAGACACACCAAGATTTTGAAGAGGCAAATTAAAAAAAAAAGTTTTTGCACTCTGCAGACCTCCCGAAAATGGCCCATTTTTCATGAAAACAGGCCCATTGTTTTTTTAAAAAGGGGGCATGCATAGCTTTTAGGAGGCTTGTTAGAGTGCTCCTGGGCAGTGGGGGACCCCAAAACGAGCAAAAATGACCCTTTTCTTTTGTGAAAATGGACCCATTTTGTCCAAAAAAGGGCATGCATAGCCTTTAGGGGGCTTATATAGTGTTCCTGGGGGCTGGAGGGGATTGAGCACAAAATAGCCTGTTTTTCGCTCATTTCTGCCCTTTCCAGCCCCCAGGAATTCTGCAAGGCTCCTAAAGGCTATGCACAGCCATTTTGGTCAAGCGGGTGAGGTTTGGAAAGCAAAAAAAATGCTGTATTCTGTGTATAAGATGCATCCAGATTTTCAGCATCTTTTTTGAGGGAAAAGGTGTGTCTTATACTACAAAAATGCAATATCTTTAGTACTCAATTTTTGCCCCCTTTAACTATGGAAAATGATCTGTGGTTTGTTCAGGAGCCATTATTCAAATATTAGCAATAGCAATAGCAGTTAGACTTATATACCGCTTCATAGGGCTTTCAGCCCTCTCTAAGCGGTTTACAGAGTCAGCATATTGCCC